ATATATATATATGAGATTACCAATCTTCACGTAACCTAGAACATTACCCTCGGAGGTAAATTTTGTGATTTTAATCTATTATACAAATAATACTCTGAGGTGACTGGGGCATTTTTTTAAAATATACCAGTTCATCGGTGATAATATGTATTACACAAGTGTTACACAAGTTCAGCACTGAAAATCAGAGACAGAAATACTTTGAACCGGAACAGAAGGAAAACGCGTGGCTCTGTGGGCAGACTTGCTGGCTTTAGCATTTGGCCGGCTCTGAGGATGAACAAGCACAGAAGCCGCGGCTCAGGTTCTGGTAAGTGGATTCCGGGGAAGGCTCTATCTGGAAGCAAGTCCTAAGGTGGCTCCTGACGCTTTCAGATGGGAGGGGTAGGACCACCATCTGGAAAATATGGAGGTCAAGATGTCCTTGGGACATAGGTTAATAGTGCAAAGTAAATCCATGGTGCCCCGCCTTTTCATAAATTAAGAAAATTTTCAAGAATGGGATCTCATTTTGGAAAATACATATACACACATAATCATGAAAACTAGTTCCAGGAATTCTTTGAGACATATATGTCTTCCTTTCCTCCTTTCTCTTGCCTTTTCTTTTTTTTTTTTTTATAGTTTGTATGTGTACATGTTCATGGGTGTGTGCACATGGTCATGTGTATAGAGGCCTGAGGTCAACGTCAGGTGTCTTGCTCAGTCATTCTTCGTCTTTTTATTTTTGAGGCAGGACCTGAAACTCGCTGTGCAGACCATGCTGACCTTGATCTCACAGAGATCCGCCTGCTTCTGCCTCCTGGGTACTGAGATTAAGGCCTGTACCTTCATGCCCGGCTTCATCTTAGTTTCTGAGGCAGAGTATCTCACTCACCTAACCTGGAACTTACTGAGTTGACTAGGCTGGCGGGAATCCTCCAGTCTCTGCCTCTGCAGCACTGAGATTACAGGCATATGCTGCTGTGCCCTGCTTCTTCTGTGGCAGACCTGAAAATCCAAACAAATCCACACGCTTGTGTGGCAATCACCTCACCCGGCTTCATCTTAGTTTCTGAGGCAGAGTATCTCACTCACCTAACCTGGAACTTACTGAGTTGACTAGGCTGGCGGGAATCCTCCAGTCTCTGCCTCTGCAGCACTGAGATTACAGGCATATGCTGCTGTGCCCTGCTTCTTCTGTGGCAGACCTGAAAATCCAAACAAATCCACACGCTTGTGTGGCAATCACCTCACCAACTAAGCGAGCCTCCTGACTTCCTTCTTTTTTTTTTTTTTTGATTGGGAATCACTTATCTAAAAAAGCAGTTTTAGTACTCCACAAATCCTATCAGACTTGGAATAAATAAAACATCTTTGCCTTTCTATGGATTTTAGATAGCAATAAAAATCACAGGTAAAATCAGTTCAGAAGTCCAGAGCCACTTCTCTGCTTCGTTTCAGTGAGGGGTGCCAAGGCCTGGTTGGCTAAGTTTAGAAGGTCACCCTGCTGCAGTACTGATGGACAAAATTCTTATTTGGCTGAGACATTTAGAAAAATACAGCATTAGAAGTGCTTACTAGTAGATGAACATGTTGAGGGGAGATCATTATTTAAACTCAGCTTTTTTTAAATAAATAATTTACTGAGAATTTCATACATATGCATAGAAGGTGTTTTGATCAAATCTACGCCCACTCTCTCCCCACGCCTCCCATTGCTCCCTGTCTCTTTTTTTCTGATAACTTCATGTACTCTTTCTTCTTTGATTTATTTATTTTTTATGGGGCTTTTGGTTACTCTAACATTCTCCCATATGAAGAGGTAACCCTAAAATCTTTTAAGGATTAGATAAAAGCTCCCAAATATTTTCAACATTTCTGGACTTTGGAACCGAGTATGTTGCTAAGAGGCCCAAGAACACTGTGAGTTTTAGCCAAGAAACTGGCTACTTTTCTTTGGAGTCTTTTGACCTTAACTGCCTAGCCAATACCTACCCCTATTCTTATCACACCATCCTCTGAAGAGGTTACCCAAATTGCCAATAAGGAATGGGGATGCAGACATCTCTGGCTTCTTCCATGCTGAACACGGATGCAGGGTGAGTGGGTCTATCTAAAAGACTCCCAAATTGCGTAACTCTTATCTCGAGGAGGAAAAGAAAGTCTTTGAATCATGAATAGGAGATGTGAAGGAGAAGTAAAGGCAAGAGTAATTAGCATTACAAGTTCTAGACAGGGAACTAGAAAAAAGAACAGGACAATTTTCTAATGTTT